ACTCTTAAGCCATCTCTCCATACCCCCCCCCCCCCCCCCCCCCGCTTCTTTCCACTTTTATGTGGGTTCTGGGATTCAAGCTCAGGTTGCCAGTTTTAAAAGACAAGTGCCTTTACGGCTGACCCATCTCACTGGCCCCTCCCCTTGTTTTTTTGTTTTTTTTTTTTTTTTTTTTGGTTTTTCGAGACAGGGTTTCTCTGTGGCTTTGGAGCCTGTCCTGGAACTAGCTCTGTCTCACTAGATGGCCTGGACTGGCTCAGGCTTGCAGCTGATTTCCTGCCTTAGTCTCTAAGCACTAGGATTCAGGCATGAGGATCCAAAGCCTCCGGGCGGGTAGGCCATGTGCCCAGGTACTTGAAGGTACTGTAGTCTGGTGGGTGTTGTGGAGCTGTCTCCTGCAGGCTTGGTGTGACCATGGTCACCATGGAACCGAGCAGCTGTGGTGACCCACGGAAGACCTTGGCCTGTCGTCATAGCAACGGAAGAAACAAATCTATACACCAGACACCTAAGCCTAGGGTATTGGGGCTATTGACATTCCCCCTTGGAGAAGGGAGATCACGGGACCCTCCCCTGAGATTCCGATCACCACTCCCTCCTGCCCTGGCTTTGTGGTCTTAGAAATGCCGAGGCTCCTGTGGGCTGCAGACTTGGGTTGGCCGTCGTGACAGCCGCTGCTCGTGACTCACTCATGCTTCTGTCGGTATCCAGGGAAACTCAGTAACTCACCAAGGTGGACTTGACAGACTCTTTCTTTGCTCTGTCTCCTCCCTCTCTATTCGAAGTGAATAGATGTTTAAGTCTCCCCAGGGAAGTCACCCAACCGCAAGGCTCCGTCATTCTGTGTACACTCTTATCAATGAGCCAGGGACACTCAGGAAGGTAGTCGTCACTAAAACCCAACGAACCTCTGCCACAGAAGTGTGTGCGCTGCTGGGGAGGCAACATATGCGCTGTAGTCGTGGCCGTTCTGTTTCTGCGACAGATGACGAGACCAAACGTCACTTAGGGGAGGAAAGGATTTATTTAGGTAAGTTTTCAGGTCGCGGTCCTTCCCTGAGGGAAGTCAGGGCAGGGACTTGAAGCAGAGTCTGAAGGACTCCACTAGCTGTCGGACACGCTATTAGACTGGCTCAGGTGAGCCTACTTAGCCGGCTGAGTTTTCTCACACAGCCCAGGACCACCTGCAGAGAGATGACTCCGCCCACAGTGGCCTGACTCTTCTGTACCAGTTAATAATCAGAGGAATCCCTCACAGATGTGCCCACAGGCCAGTCTGATCTAGGCAACTCTGCAGCTGAGACTGACCTCTCAGAGGAGTCTAGGATGTGTCGAGTTAAAGTCACCTAGGACTATATACTAGGAACACACACTATACACACACGTGCACACACTATACACATACACACACGCTATATACCCCTACACAGTATACACACTATACACACATATGCATACACACAGTATTTACACACATACATGCTACACACACAGCATATACACATGCAGTATACACACACTACATTCATATGCATACACATACATAGTATATACACACGCAGCATATACACACAAACACTACACACATACGCACACACTATACACACACACACACACACACACACACACACATTTACATGTACATGTTCTGGAGAGGAAGAAACCCGGATGGGAGCTGGTAGGGCCCAGAATGCACAGGTGGTACCTAGCGAGACTTTTAAGGAGTTACTATTTGAACAAAGAGCTGAGTTACTATTCGAGCGGAGGACTTCTGGGAATTCTGGCAGACAAAGGGTTCAGAGATAGTTGAGAGCCAGTACAAAGGCCCTGGGGCAGCAGTATGCTACCTGTCCAAGGCCTAGAAAGGAGGCAGGTGGGGCTGGGGTGGGGCACATAGGGAGAGTGGAGGGGGATGAAGTCAGAGGGGTGTGTACGGAGAACACACCTCCACCCATCTTCAAGATTTGTGTGTTATAAAAACAAACCAGAGCACTGGGCGTACTAGAGTCTTGCCTCTCAAAGCTGGAAGCAAGGTACTACGGGGACCTCCCGGCAGAAACACTCCTCCTCTTTCCAGACCTGTGCTCCCAGGCTCGTGGAAACAGGGACCCCCAGACAGACCAGGTTCCCAGGCTCGGGTTCCAGGACTGAGCCAGGGCCTGAGGGTGTTCAGGTGGACAGGGCCAGTCCGGGGATCACACTGCCTTAGGACTTGGAGGACAGTGTCACAGGCCTCCTCCCACTTAAGATTTGTATTTAAGCAAAGAAGCCGTTAAGACCCACTTGTGCAGCGCCGCTGTTTCCAGCATGGGTCTCTGTGCTGGGGTGCCGTGGGCCCGCATGGGGTCGTGAGTGAGCAGTTCAGAGACCCAAACTGACTTGGATAAACCCTAAACGGGACCCAGTGGATTCATGTATGACTTTGGGCCAGTCTGGGGTCTTTTAGGCTGTGGTGGATCATTTCAGGTATGCCTGTGTTTTGAACATTTGGGATCATGATGGAACGGGTAGACTGCAAGAAAACTTGAATCTGTTCACAGTTCTGTGAAAAATTAACAAGAGGCCCAGCTCAGAGTCCAACTGTCACTTTGTTTCTGGTTCAAGTTCTGGCCCATAGGGCAGCCTGCTATCATTTCTTACTTTTCACAAACTAGCTGGTCACTGAGTTGAACATGATGCTGGCCTCACCTGCGGGGGTGGACAGAATGCCAGAGCCCCCCATGAGGTATCAGCTCCCCCTAACTACACAAGGCAGTAGCCAGCACCACCCTCTCTCTTGTCTAGATACTGAAAGGAAGTCTTTTTTTTTTTTAAGACAGAATCTCGCTGGGCGGTGGTGGCGCACGCACGCCTTTAATCCCAGCACTTGCACTTGGGAAGCAGAGGCAGGCAGATCTCTGTGAGTTCGAGGCCAGCCTGGTCTACAAGAGCTACTTCCAGGACAGGCTCCAAAAGCTACAAAGAAACCCTGTTTCGAAAAACAAAAACAAAAAAAAAAAAAGAAAGAAAGAAAGAAAGAAAGAAAGAAAAAGACCAGGTTGGCTTCAAACTCATTATATAAACTGAGGATGACCCTAAACTCTTAATCTTCTTCTGGAGTGCAGGGATGACAGGCATCACACTCAGTTTATGCAGTACTGGGAACTGAACTCAGGGCTTTGAGTGTACTAGGCTGACAGTCTACCAATTGACTCTATTAAAAATTCAGTAGGGAGGCAGAGGCAGGCAGATCTTTGAGTTTAAGGACAACCTGGTCTACAGAGCGAGTTCCAGGAGAGCCGGGACTACACAGAGAAAGAAACCCTGTCTCAAAGAACAAACAAACAAAAAACACTATTATTGCTGGCTGCTGTGCTAGAAGTTGGGAGGTGGAGGTTAATTCCTGCACTCGAGGCAGAGGCAGAGGCAGGAGGATCTCGGTAAGTTCAAGACCAGCCACGTTTACAGAGTGAGTTCTAGGACAGCCAGGGCTGTTACCCAGAGAAAGCCTGTCTTGAAAAACAAAACAAAACAAAAGGTTGTATGTGTGTCATGGCACTCACTCATGTAGAAGTCAGAGGACAAATTTATTGAGCTGGTTTTCTCCTTCTGCCTTTAGGTGATTTCCCCAACATCAGATCCAGGCTATCAGTCTTGCAAAGCGAATGTTTTTACTTGTTGAATCAACTTACTGTCCTTATTCTATTTTTCTGTTTTTTTTTTTTGGGGGGGGCAGTCTTGTAATATATCCGAACTGTCCTCAAACCCTCCACCCTCCTGCCTGAGCCTAGCCATGCACGTGTCCCTAAATCAGGCCAAGGAGGTTTAGGGCATTTAAGTTCAGTGTCAAAATTGTGAACAGTTGCACTTCAGAGAATTGCTGGAGCTGACTGTTTGGGCACAGCATGCCTTTCAGAGAACCTAGTAACTGGCATTGGATTGAATGAGGATAAAGTTGCAGGATGCATCGTATTTTCACACATTCCAATTTGTAGAAGCTTTCTGATCCACACCAGGCCGTATCCGCCCCCACCCCTAATCTGGCCTTTCTAATCAACTTACTCATCACCCCAACCTGGGAGGTACACAGAATGACTAGATCAAGGAAAGCCAGAAGGCATATTTTCCTGAGGTGGCATTCACCCCAGGCAATCCACAGCCCACCACGTGTCTCTCCGGTCTCTGCCCTCAGGGTCTAGAGTACTCTGACCCCCGCGCTCTGAGGGCGTCACTCAGGTGGCTCTAAGGCGGAGAACACTAAAGTTCTCCAGATGAACTAAGGAAAGGAATCGATCTAGGCGGTGCAAAGAGCATGGATAGCGATTTAGGAGTCTGGCGCTGCCCTAGGCACCGGGGCTGTAGTGGAGCGGGATCCTGTCCTATCGTTTCCGTCTAACTCGGAGCCGAGGACACAGCACGGCTTTATACGAGTTTTTGAGTATCTTAACATTTAATAGAGAAGCATCCCGAGAGGATGTCCGCAGTCAGAAGAAGAAGAAAAAAAGAATTTCTTAAGGACATGAAAACTTTCGCAAAAGTTTTCCAGGAAAAGGCGGCCGCACCTAACTGAAGGAGCCGGGGAAGCCGCCGCCCCGGGAACGGGCGGGGATGACGAGGAGTCCTGCGGCGGCAGCGGGGGAGAGGGCGCGAGGCGGGACGCCGCATGAGGTCACCTGGCACCCAACCAGCAGCAGCTGCGGAGGACGCGGCCGCGCCGCGGAGGGAGGCGGTGTCAGGCTCCGGCTCCGGGGACCTTACCCTCCCGCCCCCTGAGGGGGCGTGGCTCACGGTCCCACCCCGCCCATCCGCTCTGCCTAGCCTAGGCCACGCCCTGCGGTCCTCCAGGCTCCCCAGTGGTCCGTCGGGGAAGCCAAACCGCTCTCCCCCGCCTTCCTCGCCCGAGGCCACGCCCCTCACGGCCCGTCCCGCCCACTTCCCCCGCAGAGTCCGAGGCGCCGGGCCGCTGCCCCGCCCACACCACGCCCAGCGGGTCCCGCCCAGCGGTTTGAAGTAGCTGGGACCGCAACCCCCTCCGAGTCGCGCGCGAGGCGTGAGGCGGTGCTGAGGATCTGTGGCCGCGGGCGGGCAGCTTGACGTCGGGACTGTCCAGCGAGCGAGCGAGAGAGCCACAGCAGCCCCGGAGCCACAGCCAACAGCCGCAGTCCGCGGAGCCCAGCCCAGCCGGCCATGGCGCTATCGATGCCCCTGAACGGGTTGAAGGAGGAGGACAAAGAGCCCCTCATCGAGCTCTTCGTCAAGGTGAGCGCTCGCCGTCCCGGGGTGGCCCGTGTCCCCTCCCTCGCCCCGAGGCGCCCCCACGCGGCGTCCCCGCGGCCCGAGGCAGAGCCGTGCCTCCCGCGCCCCTTCCCATTGTCTCGGCCCCGCGCCTTCCCGCCACGCAGCGCAGCGGGACCTAGGCGGAACCCGCGGGTGAGCGGGCGGGCGGGCGGGCGCTGCGAGCGAGAGCCGACTCCGCAGGGCCGGACGCTTTCGCTCCGCTGCGCCGCGTGGGTCCTGTCACCCTCCTCGCCCTGTCGGGCCCCACCCCGCCTCGGGCCACCCGGGCTGATCGCTCACCCAACTTACTCTAGCGCTGGCGCTCCGCCTGTGTGAAACTGAAACTTTAATTTCTATGCAATATTAAATAAAATACCGGGGAAAACCGGGAGCGGGGCTGGGTGGCGCACGCCTTAAACCCAGCAACAGGGAAGGCGGAGCCAAGAAGAGTGGGCTTTCAGAGCCAGCCTTGGCTGCTTACCGAGGTCAGGGCAAGCCTGGGATAGGTGGGACCTGTCCTTCTCCCCCACGGGGAAAGTGAGATCTTTTTTTTCCCCTTTAATGCGGACGTGGTGATTAAGCTAAGACCCAGCAGCTGAGGTTTAAGGAGTGCCTCGAGATCGAGTCCAGCCAGGGATACTAATGGGAGACTGATACCTCCCCAAAACCCCAGACAACAGAAAAAAAGAGAAGAGGAAAGAAGAGCAAAAACGAAAAGAAGGGTGGATGCCCTAGGGCTTCCGGAGAAGACGGAGATTCCCGACTTGGGTTTTCCTGTCCGGTATTTTACCACCATCTGGTTTTCTTGTTTCTCAAGCGCGGCGCGGTTCCACATGATGCAACCTTTTGGCTACCCGCGTTGGTGTTGCCACCTCGGCTAGCGCTTTTGATTCGAAAGAAATATTGATTGCCAGAAAGAATTCTTAGCTCCCTCGGGCTTTCAAAGGTTCATTCCTCTCGTCCCCTTCAGTTTTTAAATCCTGGAACTGCCTAATTCGACTGTATCCGCGCCCCTCCCTTTTGGAGAAAAAAGTTAGAAACGTCTGTCTTCCTCGGCTTTCCTGAACCGCCTTTGAAACCCTGAGATTCGGTCAGCCACTAGATAGCCAGGATTATGCCGAACCAGGCAACACATTAGAAATTCAGCAGGGATCCAGTGCGAGTCTGCCCCTCTTAGTTTTAATTTGAAAGAGAGGAAATTATTGAAGGATGGGTTCCAGAGATGGAAGGCAGAAATCTACAGGGTGGTAACAATGTCTGTCTTGCTAGTTTTCTTTCGGTTGCCAGTTTTAGAAACGGTGTTGGTCTAGAGCAGTTGTTCTCAATCTGTGGGTCGCGACCCCGCTGTCCAACGTCGGAAAACACGTATTTACGTTCCGTTTCAGAACAGTAGCAAAATTACAGTTATGAAGTAGCGACGAAAATACCTTTATGGCTGGGAGTCGTCACAATATGAGGAACTGTAATAAAGTGTTGCAGCCTTAGGAAGGTTGAGAACCACTGGTCTAGAGACTTGAAAGCGAAAGGCATCGGACTCCCCAAATCTTTGGCTCTGTGACTGGAGGTGACAGATATGATTTAACTTTGAGGCGTGTAGGAAGGAATCTGAAGTTGAGAAAGGGAAGAGGGGAGTGGGAAACAGCATGGAGAAGGGAAAAGGCTAGACCAGAGATCTGGCCATAACAAATTTTCCGTTTCTCATCTGCCCTCTGTTTTTCTGAGGCGGAATCTTATCTGTATCCTAGGCTGTTTTAGAACTCAAGTAGTCTAGGCTGCCTCAGCTTGCTGGGATTACAGCTATGAAACATCATACCCAGCAGGAAGGAGTTTTGATAAACTAAACAACCTCCAAAGTGTATGTGTTCATCTGAAGAACAGTGCTTATTGGTAAAACCTGAATTCAGCTCAGAATTATAAACAACCCCAGCAACTCCCCCCACACCTTTTTTTTTTTTTTTTTTTTTTTGGTTTTTTTGAGACACAGTTTCTCAGTGTCATACTCCTGGCTGTCCCGGAGCTTGTTCTGTAGACCAGGCTGACCTCAGACTCACAGAGATCTGCTGACTCTGCCTCCCTAGTGCTGGGATTAAAGGTGTGCGCCACCACCACCCGGCAAGCCTGGTCCTTTAATCCCAGCATTTGGGAGGCAGAGGCAGCCTGGTCTACATAGTGAGTGCCACATTAGCCAGGGCTATGCAGGGAGACCCAGTTCCAAAATCAACAGGAGCAAACATAACCATTAGAACCATGCACGAATACTATAATTTCTAGCTTCTACTCAGTGTGGTTCTGGAGTTTTTTAGTTTTTTAATTCAGGATTTCTGTGTTTCTCTGGTCGCTCTGTAGACCAGGCTAGCCTCGAACTCACAGAAATCCGCCTGTCTCTGCCTCCCTGAGTGCTGGGATTAAAGGTGTGTACCATCATTGCCCTGCCTATGTTCTGGAGGTCTTAGGCAATATAATACCAAGAAAAATGTTTAAAAATTAAGAAGGGATTGGAGATGTAGCTCAGTGGTAGAACACTTGGCCTAGCATGGCCAAGGCCCTATGTGCAGTTTTCAGCAACACACACACACACCCTTAGGAAGGACATAATGGATGCCCGATGTCCCGCTCACTGCTGATTTAGTACTTCCAAGAGGAGATGGGTGGGGTGCGCGTTCTCAGACTTGAGTCACTTGTGTGCCCCTTCCCAGTGTTCCGCAGTTGTGGCGTAAACCATTGACTTCACAGGCCTCTCTGGGCTTTGAAGCCAAAGGTCGGTCTTAGATTTCTTTGCTCACTGACAGGGCTATCCTGGGCAATTTGTTTTCTCCCAAGCTTCATGTTTTTCATCTGTGAAATGGCTTTTACTCTTCTACGCTTACTAAATATAGGCCACTTTTGTGCTGATACAGACCTGGTTAGTTGTTTGGAAGGAGGAAAAAAGGGAAAAGTACAATGTGGTAAAGGGTGCTGATGTCTTCTCAACCTGTGTGTGAGAGAACGCAGTTGGGGAAATTCTCTTAAAAATACAGTTGTTTTGAAAGCAATGAGGGGCAGACACTGGTTGTCTATGGTGGTAGGCTAAACTGCATTCTACTCAGCCAGCTATCCTGAATTTATAGCAGATGACTTCTTTTTTTGGACATAGACTCTCCCAGCCTGGCCTGAGTTCGCAGCCTGGCTTGAGTTAGCGCTGGCGCTCACACTGGCTTCAAACTCCCAGCAGATTGTCTCAGCCGCACAGCGCTCCGTGTTTAGGCGTGAGTCACCACTGTGACTGAAAGCTTTTTGTGTTAATAAAAACTGCGTTTTCTGGGTGGTGGTGGTGCACACCTTCGATCCCAACGTCAGGAGGCAGAGGCAGGTGTACTTCAGTGAGTTCGAGGCCAGCCTGGTCTACAGAGTGAGATCCAGGATAGCCAGGACCGTTATACAGAGAAACCCTGTCTGGGGAAAACAAAAATATGGCAAACGTGTGTCTGTGTATGGAGCAGCACATGTATGGAGGCCATTGGGCAGTTTATGAGAGTTAATTCTAATTCTCCCCCTACCTTGTGGGTTCTGGAGCTTGAACTCAGGTTGCCAGGCTTGTGCAGGTTGCCCACTGAGTGGTTTGCCTGGTCTATATTTTGTTCAGAGTGTCTAGCTGTTAAGCTACTCAGTGCTGGAAAGGAGACTGCTTCTTTCCCCTTCCAGCGCACTTAAAAAAAGCACAAGTTTAAACGTCATTCTTATCTTCAGGTGTATGTAAATGTCCGTGTGTGGGTGTATGTACATGTTTGTAGGGGCTCTCAGAAGAGGGTGTCAGATCACCCCCGAGCTGGAGTTGTCAACAGGGATGCTGGGATTGAACTCCAGTCCTCTGCAGGAGCAGTGAGTGTTATTAACCACCTAAGCCCTCTCCAGATGATATGTTGGTGTTAGCATATGTCTTGTCTGTCCTTTGAAATTGGAAACAACTTTATTTTTCTCCCCGACCCCATTTTTGTTTCTTGGCCTTTCTTGTTTTGGACAGCGTTTTCCTTTGTATATCAGCTGTCCTTGAGCTCCCTATGCAGCCAGTCTGACGTCTAACTTGCAGCAGTTCTGCCTCAGCTTCCTGAGTGCTGACATTACAGGCATGCAGTACCCTACTCTCCTTGAAAACTTATTTCTTAGATCCTGATGTTCTGAGTCATGAGCCTTGATTCTTTGTCCTTTGCCTAGCCTCTGCTTGCCAATACCATGTGATTTTTATCTACTTAACTATTTTTCCTTCATAATTTAGTACTTCTTATCTTTTCACGTATCTGTCATTATTTTCCACCAATATTTCTTTTTGGCTATATTCATAATTAGGGTCCAAGATTTCTGTCCAGGGAAAGGTAAATATTAACTCAGGAACCACAAATGAAAGGAGTAGAGAAATGGTTACTGACCTGCATACACCTAGTGTCTTGTGCTTTTTGCTTATTTATATTTATTTGAGACAGGGACTTACTATGGGCGCCAGTCTGTAGGAAGACTGTTCATCCTGACTGCCCAGCTCGCTTAGATCCGAAATAATCACACAGAAACTGTATTAATTAAATCACTGCTTGGCCCATTAGCTCTAGCTTCTTATTGGCTAACTCTTACATCTTAATTTAACCCATCTCCATTAATCTGTGCATCACTACGAGGTCATGGCCTACCAGCAAAGTTTCAGCACGGTCTACCTCTGGCAGTGGCTTCATGGCATCTTTCTCTGACTCTGCCTTCCTCCTCCCAGCATTCAGTTCCATCTTACCCGCCTACCTAAGTTCTGCCCTATCAACAGGCCAAGGCAGTTTCTTTATTCATTAATGGTAATCCCAGAACACAGAGGGCACTCCCACATCACAGCCCAGGCTACCCTTGAATTTGTGGTGGTTTTCTTGCCTCAACCTCCTGAGTACCGAGGTTACAAGCAGGAGGAGAGTAATCAGGAGTTTGGATTTTTGTTTTGTTTGTAAAAGCCCAACTTATCTTGACACTAC